CATATCATGAGAAATTGTTTTCAAAAAAACAGTTTCAAGTGGAAACTCATTATCGTTAAATCTTTCTATATGACATCTGTTGTATTCAAATAACATAGTCAAATCACTGAGAGAGCTTTTGCTTGAGCAGCTAATAATTTCTAATGAAACAACAATGCCAATATTTGATGACAGTTAAAATAGAAAGCAAAAACTATTCTGTTTTAGATATCTTATTTGTATAATGTCATTCCTAGATATTAGAGAGCGCATCATAATGTTTTAGTGTCGATGGTGATGAAACAACATGAAATAGTTTTTTCGATCCCATGATGATCTCTATTATCAACACATAAAATGAGAAGATGACCTTTCCAATTGAATAGAATTTGTCATTCATTGACAGAAATATAAATATAAATAGGATCAATCACGAGCGATTGACTGGAAAGCAGGTCAACTAATGGACCATGGGAAAAGAGGTAATTGACGACATTAGAACTTAATTCTTATATATCTGATAATCGATTGTCTCTGTAGTGAGAGAACATGTAGATAATTATGTTGCCTTTAACCTTCACCAGCAACACAAAGTCCAACAATTTTGTTTACTAATGGCAACACATAAGATGGGAAAAATACGACATACTGGAAGGCATTGGGCTAAAAGAAAGCAAAAAACTCATTGCGAGAATGGAGAAGTACATTATATATTCAGCATTTGAATATATAGTAAATAAAAATAAGTTGTTAAATATTGAAAAGTCTCAATAATAGCAGTGCATGCACATGGATGAGTTCTGATCATATTAGCTTGTTCAACAACTCATCTGAACTATTCAATGAATCTCGATATAATTCGAATAATGGAAGACCAACCAAAAATTCATCGATTTAGTATAATTATCATTTTGCCAAGAAAGATCATATAGAACATCGTTGACGAAATAGATTCTTGATGTTGTCACTTCAAAAACGGCGATCAGAGATTTATTGCTATTACTATGATTGTTTTCGAATGTCATATAAGACAGTTGATTATAATGATCAATATCTATTGTCAATTTCATCGGAGATTGAATTATTTTCATTTGATTTTTTTTGGTTTGTTCATTCTGTTTAATTTATTGAAACCAAGTGAATTGCATTCAATTGATGTCGATCAAAATGAAAGATATCGTCAATCATAATCGAATCTAATCGATGACTATAATCATTCTTTATCTAGGGTGCAGCAAAGCAAAAACCAAAATAAATGTATAGATTCTGATTAACATAACGACAAAAACTCGTGTGTTGAACTGTCGAGTATCAACCAAATATGAATCTATGAGTAATCTTTACTATTAATTGTTTCTCGTTTAAATATGATAATCCTTGTTCGACAGAAATTTATCCTGTGCTCGCGTTTTCTAACTAAAAAATTCAAAAGTCAATAACAATTGACAATGAAAAGTCATTCACTGTATCTGAGATTATTTGTTAATAGTTTAGAATTGATCGTTAATCATAATAGAGCTATCTGGCTTGAAAAAGTATCTTTGTCAAGAATTGTATATTATGAAATATATCAAAAAACGATCGTGTCGTATAATATCAATGCATACATAAAGTATGTGATAAGCGTAAACGACTGTATTCATTTGAAAACCAGTCATAAATCGAGTTGCACTTATCAAGCACATAGATTTTTCGTTTTGAAGTCAACAACGGAAACAATTTTTTATTTATTTAGGTTGAATACAACAGCAGAAGATTGTTTACGACTATCATAATGCTCGTTCTGAGGCTTTTCTCTTCATTTTTGTTGATAACGACATGAACACTTTCCCATAGACAGATAAATTTTTGTGCAATTTCGTCGTCATCTTCTAACGTTTTTTGGATGAAATGATCCATACGAGCAACTTTTCATACTTTGAAATAATATTCGATAATTTCGATCATCATTTAGATCAACGATAGACTTGGTTTTAAACACTGGTGATTTTTAAACCTTTTATTCTGTTACTTTCACTGATTTTTTTTATTGATATTTGAAGAATATTGATACTTTTTGCATTATTCGATCCGATATCCTCATTTCGACAAATATTTTGTCTAATAAATATTCTTTTCGTTATATTGACGTTTCGATTTTTGAAGTTTAAATAGAATAAGTTGATCGAAAACTTCATCACTCTCTTACAAAATGTTCAAAGACTAAACAACATATTTTCATAAATTGTTTTTTATGAAATAAAGTATTTGGTCTTTTGTTAAATTGACAACGTTCGAACCTCCATTCGTCATTACTCGTTTTAGATTGGTCAAATTCAAATTCGTGAGTAATGTCAGTCTTTTCCATTTTGTTTGATTAATGTCACAAAAAGAATCATCAGATACTTGAGTAGAAGAAAAGACACCTTCGTGTATGAATAACTCATGTACAAATATGCAAGAAATTTTCAACATCTATAATTTCAGCTTCGTGGTAGTGATTCAATTTAAATTTTGTTATTCGAAGGAATGGGTGGAATAATTTAGCAATATTTTCATTTAATTATTAAATCAGAGTCCTATTTTCAGTTAAGATTGGTAATTAATCAGAAATTTAGAATGTACTTCTGAGAACAACTACTTCACTGTTTCTATACAAGTACAGGCTATAGTCGAGCTTGACCTCTAACTTAGATTATTTTCGTTTTAAATTTAATAAAATCAATCAATCACTCAGTCTAAACATTTTCGTATTGGTTTACATTTTAATCCAATCGTCATCAAGGAAATGTTTGTAATCTGATGACTAACAACTCTTGATTTGGCTGTCACTGCTCCCTTTCTCATTGATGTCTGTTTTCTTTTTATCGAAAGATTTGATGGTGCATCATTAAAACTATCTATTTCTTGATCATTTTCTTTTTATATAACATATTTCATAGATGGCGGATTCATCATCAACAGCTCAAAATAAAAAACTCGATGATTTCCATGAAAGTGTTCTATCAAAAGAACCAACTGTTCGACTAGAATGTTTTTCTGCACTTGAAAATTATTTATCTGATGTAAACACGTCACTTGAATGTGAAGACCTAACTGGTTTTATTAATGGCTTAGTTAAATGGATTGAAGGCAGTAATTTTCGAGTATGGCTTTCTTATCATTTATAGTTGTTTTTCTGAGAATACTTGTTTATAATTTAGATTGCTTGTAATGGTCTTCGTGCATTAGAATTATTTATTGATCGATTAGATTCACATGAATTTGAATGTTTTCTTGACAATGGTATTTACGAAATGATTCGATTAATATAAAAGTAGTTCTTTTTTTTTTAAATATTTAGTTGTATCTGTAACAGTTGACCGATTGGGTGATGCCAAAGATCAAGTAAATAAAAAATTTCAAAAGTATAAATTGTAAAAATAAAAATTTACACTTAGGTTCGAGAAGCAGCATCTAATCTTCTTATAAAATTAATGATAACATTCACTCCACAAGTAAATTTTGTCCATTAAAATAAACTTTATTATTATTATTGTTTTTTTGTATATAGCATATTTGGGATTTAATACAACCATTATCATTTGATCATAAACAATTTCGTGTAAAAGAAGAAAGTCAACGTTTACTTATAAGATCATTAAATGAGTATGTAATCGAAAATAATCAATTATTAAATAGAAAACAAAAATCTAGAATAAGAACAAAGCTTATCTTACCGATCAACCTTCTGCTCATTTTCGATAGAAGGGATAATCGACTTTTGTTTTTTGTCTGTTTGTTATTGTAAGGATTGTCAGAGTTTTACACTAAAGGAATGATGACAACGAAAAGCAATCTTTTGAATGATAAACAAATAAATATCTGAATGCCTCATAATTGAACGTATACAATCGACTATGCATTACTCCGACTCCTGTTTTTTTCTCTCATATACCTATAAACACATTTGTGTATGTCTACGTCCTTCTATCATCATTAATAGAAGAGATAATACAACAGAACGTAAGAGAAATGCAATTACAGCTGTTGAACGGTCAACGACCGTGAGAAAGATCTAGCGATATAGCAGAAGGAAAAGAAAAAAAGTTCATTGATACTATCTATTTGTACATGCATTGAATATAATCAACAAAGGTCTTGTACTCGTTTTGTCTTCTTTCATATCACTTTTTATCATATTCTTTGAGTGGCAAGTCAAGATCATTGTTTTAATCATAACTGCAATAAGTAATAGTATGTTAACAAATCAATCAACAACAATATCAAGAAAACCTTCTTCGATTATTGAGTAAGTTGATCGATATCACTTTCCTATTATGTTTCACTTACGGAGTATTTTTTCTTCTAATTGATTAAAACTACTCTAGTAAAAACAGACAATAAAACGATTATTTGTATACAAATAGTTTTGTTTTATTTTGACATTATGTCTAGATTACTTTTCTTTTCCATCAATCTAAAGGTAATATCCTCCTGATGAAATACCTTGCCTCTTGCTTTTTTCAAGCACAAAGATGCGGCTGTATGTATGTATGTATGTACATACATACAGTAGGAAAGACAGGGTGGTATGTACACAGCAAATAGATAGAGATATAATGATCGTTAAAATGCATTACGCAAGATGCAAATGACATATCTCTCTCGCTAATGATCGTCGTTGCCTTTTACCACTGTCTATTTAATCCAACTGAGTGTTGTTCTTCATTGTGGATTTCGATCTTTCTCATTCTCTTTTTCTTCTCTGTTGTCTTGTCAACTGTAAGTTAATTTCAATACAAATAATTTCTTGTAGTCAGTAGACAAGAAAAGGAGGATTAAAATTTTATTAGTGTTACTGATATGGTGTCTAGTCGATATGAAACAAGCTAATTCAATACAGATTATGAATGATAAGTAAGTGAAATAGAAACAGATCATTTTTCTCGTAGTTTTATGTAAGTTCGATAACTGTTTGAACATATAATTAAAACCTGGTGCTTTTTTTCTTTTCTAGGTTTGGTTCATCAGCAATTCAACTTAGTAAACTTGTTCCACTTATTTGCAAACTTGTATCAGATTCAAATGGAACTGTAAATTATTCAAAATATATTGATTTTTTAGTTATTTATTTTTAAATAGGTTCGTCAACAAGCAACTGATACTCTTGTAGAAATTTATCGTCATGTTGGCGATAAAGTTCGTAATGATATTGCTAAACGTGACATACCTGAAGCCAAGTAAAGGATTTCAAATCTTTTCTTTCTTTTGCTTAATTCTAATTCGAATTGTTTAGATTAAAGCAACTTTATGAAAAATTTGACGATGTTGTTGCAAGTGGTCGAATGATTGCTAAAGTAACTGATTTAACAGATGATGGTAAGATATATGTTATATAGATGAAACAGAGTAAATGTGTTATACGTGTGTGTGTGTGTGTGTGTGTGCGTCACCATTCTCAAAATACTCCTTTGACCATTAATCAAAATGGAAGATCGTATTTATATTGCATTAACTCAGTCATCGAAGGTGTAAGGTATACATACATATATAAGATATAAATGATGATAAGTTGATCGTCACATTGAAAAAAAACGCCCCGAAAAAAAAAGATACAAAATGAGGGATGCATAAATTTATGTGTATATACGACAAACTACCTTTCTATCGTACTTGAACTGATCGAAGCTTGTTAGTTACTTTTTACGAGATACAAACAATGAATTCAACTTTACTTGAACAATTTCTTGGTCCATCATCAACTCGTTTTCAATTGCCAACATTGATTGAAGAGGAAAATGATGAACTCTATCCATTAGTTAATATTAAATTTAGTCGATTAAATCGAACGAGAAAATTATTACTAGGTATAAATAAATATTATACTATATAGATAAGGTCTTGTATATTACTTACACATAGTTATTAATCTTTTGTATATATTTAAATTCTACACTTTTTTTATTCCATATATTTCATGCTTTATATTTTAGTTACTCTTCTCTGTTTCTTTTTATTTCATATCAAACAGTAATCGCTTTATTGAACTCATCCATTTATTGAGTTTCTTTTTCTCTCTTTCATATATGCTTGTGTGTGTGTGTGGGTGTGTATGTTTGAAAATTTTTTTTAATAAGCCGAGGCAACGGCAAACACAAAAGGATGATCGTTTATATGCATATGTGTAATTTTCATTGATATTCAAATTCTATATAAAGACGAGAGAAGAGAACAAAAGCGAAAAAGAAAAAGCATTACATATACAGATGGTGCCTATTACAGATATGTTTTTAGCTAGTAAACCTCGTAAGACTGTGTTAATTGATTTTCTTTTTTTTTTATATTATTACATCCATTTTTAGCTCGTGCAAAATCATCAACAGTAAAATCTCGACGTGATTCGGATGGTGGAACAGTACCTCGAGCAAGACCAAGTGGTAGTATTCCAACACGAACAACTGTTGGTAGTGCAAATTCAGCAGGTAATTAAATAAAATAAAAAATATTTTGAATATATACAAAAGTAAGCAACAGAAATAAATAAAACTTCTTCGGCTACCAATCATCGTTCACGTTCATCATCGGGTATACCACGTCCACACTTATCTATATCAACAACAGGAGGTATTATTATCTTTTTTTATGCTGTGTCAGTACTTCAGCTGTTGTTATTTGTTGTTTTATCTGCGCTAGTCGGTTTGTAACACGTGCTTGTCGTATTGTTTGACCAAGTTGCATAGATATCTTGGTAGTTGATGACATAAGACATTGATCATGCATCGTACATTATGTTCTTTTGATTCTAGTTGAGAATAAAAAAGATTCTTTATTAAATAAGATAAAAGTAAAAATTGTTTTTGTTTTATAGCTGCTGCAAGTGGAGCAGTTGATGAAGCAATATTCGAAGATGCATTCAATGCAACATCTGATATTATGGTAAGAATGATTATTATGACCTATTGTAATCTAAGTGGAGAAAACATTTGTTTATATGGCAAATGTTTTATCTCATCAAAACAATCAACTCCTACGGATATTTCTTTTCGTTTTTTATTCAAGCTTTCATCGGGTAAAGATGTTGAAAATCAATTGTTAAATATTCGGGATATACTTGCTGATACTAATAATGATTGGGAAAAACGTATTGAAGCAGTAAGAAATAAAAGAAAGTCATGTCTTTATTTAAGTTTTTCTTGTTTTTTTTTCTTCTTGTAATTAAGCTTAAAAGAATACGATCAATAATATCCGGTGGTGGTGATCAATATGACGAATTTTTTCGTAGTCTTCGTCAACTTGATTTAGCTTTAGCAACAACTGTAAAAGATTTACGTTCACAAATAGTTCGTGAAGCTTGTATTACATTAGCATTTATGTCTGTTCGTTTAACAAATCGTTTTGAACGTACAGCTGAAGGAATAATACCAGCTATGGTTAATCTTATGCAAAATAGTGCTAAAATTATTGCAACAAGTGGAAGTGTTGCTATGCGTTATATTGTTACTAATACACAATCAAGTAAACTTGCTTCACTTATATTAGCTGGCATTGAATCAAAATCTAAAGATATTCGAAGGTTAATAAACACTTATTCTATTAATTTAAAATTAATTTTATGAGCTTTTGTTTTTTTCTTTTTCGTTTTGTTTCAATAGACATACATATGAATTATTAGCAATAATGCTTTCAAAATGGGATTTTATTTATTTGGAAAAACATGGTCAATTAATTCATGATGTTATAAAAAAAGGTTTATCTGATGCTGATGCTGATGCAAGACTATATGCGAGAAAAGCATTTGGATATTTTCGTGAACATTTTTCTCAATTAGCTGATGCACTTCTTATTACACTTGATTCATCAAAAAAGAAAGCATTAATGGTTTGTTTAAAAACATCTTTATCTTTAAAGGTTTTCACTTTTTTTTTTATACATATATTGTTAAAATAGGGTGAAATGAGTAATGCATCAAGTACACAATCATTAGCAAGTGTAGGTAGTTCAAGAATACGCAGTACAAAAGAGTATGTGTTTCAAATGTTAACATTTAACTGAATTTGATATTTTTTTTTGTCCTTCGTAGCACACCAAGACAAACTCGAACAGGAACTAATGGTAAGAAACAGATTGATTTTGATTTACAGTAATGGATAATAGTTTTCATCCAAGCCGATCATTGCCAAAAAAGAATGCTTAGAAAATATTGTACTATTTTTTATGAATAATATGATTAATTCTAGGCATTTTTACATGTAACTGAAGTCTCATCTACTTTCTTCGTTCATTCAAAATTGAAGTTCATTTGCTTGAATATTGATGTTTTGAGATCGTTGGAACTAACAAAATAATCATCTATGTTTAATTTTTCATTACTTCAAGATTCGCTTATGAATCTTGTAGGTAATAATACTTAAATCTCGAAAAAGCTTCTTAAAACTTTTGAATATGTTTAAGGATTGATGAACTTGGATGAACTTAGTAATGCAAATAGCAGAGACATAGTATTACATATTGAGGAGTCAGCTGACAATAAAAATAATAGATGGTATCCATCATAATTCACTTTCTAATCAAGTTACAACAGTGCCGCAATGCAAATAACCTACATCCTTGATGAAGTGCATGTAGACAAATATTAAAACATTCGGTACATATAGTGATCGAAATCGGCTGGGATGAAGACTTTCGTTATTAAAAACGAAGCTAAGTAACGATACGTGTCTTTGAAGGTTTTTTCTACGATTTCAAGCACTTAAGATCTCTCCTCTCCAAAAAACCTATTTTTCTAAAAAAAGAACACTTCTTGAGATACCCATATAGACATAACTCATACGATATCCACTTTGAAAATTTATAAGAGTGACTTCCAATTTACTCGACAAAACTCTAGATGAATTTTTTTAGTCTGATTTGATGCTTATGTGAGAAAGTTCTTTATGTAAATATTCAAAAAAAATGTTCACGCGTTTTTCTAGATATTGTTTTTTGCATAAATTGTCGAATAATTTATTTTCGATAGTGTTCGTTCTAGTAAACTACATTTTTTTATTTGATAGAGAGATGAATTCTCTTTCGGATAAGGGAAAACAATTTTCTATTCAATCCTCAGTATCAAAGCAATCATGAGATTTTTAGAAAACATTGTCAAAGATTTTGAGAACTCTCAAAATGAAATTAAAAAAAAAGAAGCTTTTCCTCATGTGAAGCAGTAGGAAATTCTCTGTGAAATGAGAGCAGTCCGCGGTCCATAGCTTGAAGTGTATTATAAAAACGTTTATACATGTGAAAGCCTTATTTTGCACTACAAGGATAAATTTTTTTTTGTAACATCCTTAACTTTCTAAGAACAAGTCATGGGAAATGTGATTATCCTTCATTCTATTCAGAACTTTGTGCTTGTAAAAACTAATTTTGATATAATCTTCTGGGATCTGAAAACTATCGTGGTTGCTTTTTTAGAAACCTTTCTCTCATAAAATTTCAGTATAGAATGAATGTGATAGAGCACTTCATTGACTATTCAAAGCACTATTTGCATTTGAATTAAATCATTGGTAACTATGACGTTTTCATATACTTTATTATTAACTTGAAAATTATCTCTTCTTTTGAAGATGATAATCTTTGGGTTTTTTTAAACGTTTTCCTCGATATTTGAGGAATCAAAAAGTGTTCTCAAATATCAAGTTGTGATTGAAATAAAAATGACGATCATTGTAAATAGTTTTATAATTTTGACTTTCTTTTTTTTATAGACAAACAAAGCTCATCGGGTAATTTAGCTCGATCATCAAGTGCTAATGAACTTGCATTACGTAAAAAAAATGCATCATCAACAACATTAAGCAGTAAGTGATTAGTTTATTTAAATAAAATCACGAATTTTCAATTATTAAACTCTGTATCTTTCGTTTGAAACTGATGAAAATAAATGATTTTTTCTTAAGGTTTAAACGTAACCACTGATCAAACAGTAAACAGTGAGTATTCAAAATACAAGAGTATACTTTCAGACATTACCTATTAAGATAGGTGAACATGTCAGGAACCTATGATGATGATCGATTTCTTTCATTATTCAAATAGTTCTATACTAAGAAAAGTTATTATTAATATATCGGTCATCACCATACGTTCGTCATTTGCTCACCAGCTTTACCGTTAAAGCGTATTGAGTTCCAAATTTTTGTACCCGGATCCTAGCTGCTCTACTAATTCTAATGAAATCTTTTGGTTTGTGTATGTTAATCTCTTTGAATTCTACTATTAATACATTTCTCAGATAATCATAACAATGATCTTATAATAATCAACTCATAATTAACTGTTAGTTTGACAGTATAGCCCGTTGGATGAGGTCCAGGACCAATCCGATAGGTTCTACTTATCATTACATCCCTAATTCAAAATAAAAATATTTATACATATTTTTATTTATGAATTAGATCGTTCTGAAGTTCTTGCTCAATCACCAAATACTAAAAATGCTTCTTCAATAACACCAACATCTCTGCATACTACTGTATCTCAACCGGGTAGTCGTTCGACGTCACCTAATTCATTGAAAGCATCTCATAATTTATCATCATCATTACGTACATCAACTAATACTCGTTCACGAATACCAATAGGTTCAAATGGAGGTTCACGAATGTCAAGTCGAGAATCAAGTCCAGGACGAGCGCGTATGTATAATATTTATTTTATCTTTTTGTTTTCTTTTGTTTGATCTTATGCGTTCAAAAAAGAAAGATTATTATCAAATATTGAGACATTTTTTCAGCGGTGACTGCTAGTGGTGGTGGAAATAGACGTCGACTAGGACGTAAGTTTGTAGGATAAATATGTGTTGTGTGCGTTAACATCTTAGATTGTATCTTCTTCGTATTTATTTGATTAATTGGGTTTTCTATTAATATTAACTTAGATTTTTTTGATATTTAGTTTGAATTAATTTATTTCTATTTTAGGATCATATGGATATCGAGGACCAGGCAGTGATTATGGTGATCATGCTAGTGGACGTCGTTTTAGTGGCTCATTGCATGGTGATAGTGCTGATGATGCATCAGAAACATCAAGCATATGTTCAGAAAGAGCATTTGAAGTACGTCTTCTTATAATAAAATCTAAAAAGTTTTATACTAAATTGAAATAGTCATCAGATTAAACATTTGAGGTCTTCCTTGTATGATAAACAAATATCACTTATATTAGTTTTGTTTTTTTGATAATCTTCTTCGAAAATCACATGATAGTTTATGTAAGTTAAACTAGTGTAATCCCACTAATATTTTTTTCATAAAAAGTCATTTGAAAGTGTTTTGTAAATGTAAAAATGAATGTTGACCAGTGATGAAAGTTTCCTGCTCAAGTAAATGATGATAGATATTCAATCACAAAGAATCTCTGTTTTGATTGATCGATTACAAAGACTTCTCAATTTTAGTTCATTAATATTTTTCAATAAATATGAATTGATAACAAAAATTTGAAGATGGAATTGTAAATTAGAACAAACTAAAACATAACTTTAAAATCAGATTGTAATGAAATCGAACTAGTACTATTTTAATTGATTCCAAACGGATTTATGCTCGTTTTTATACATGGACCATACTCTTTTGAAATGATGTAAAGAAGATATGAATATAAAAAACGATCAGAATTATTCATTAGGTTATAATTCCATTCAAGAGCTGCTTGCCCTTCCAAATTCAGGCCGGACCCAGTTACACATTTTTGTCTGGATCCGCAGCTCCTTAGATGGGAAATACAGCAACAAAATATAACTGGACGTGTCATTTTTTTTTTGAGAGTAACGAATGAATAACTAAAACCTTGATTCTTCTCTTATTCATGTACACAGAAGGTGCCAGATATTAACGAAAAAAATCTTGGATTTAGTTCCGGTTGAGCTCGAGCCTGGATTTCGACCGAGTTCGAATTCATAAAAATGTGCACCCGCAGCTTCCCCTACATTCCACTCTATAGTCGACCTTAGTTGATATGTCTTGCCTGACTCTGAGAGCAGAAGAGAACAAATTTTAAAAAAAGATTGACTATCTATCAGTAAACATGTAGAGCTTTCTTAGCTGTATCATTCTAGTGATAATTGCTGTCCATTACACTCGTGAGAGAAACGAGAAAAGGAGACAGTGTCCAATAATTAATGAAGGACAAATAATATATTTTTGTTCAAATACTTTCTTAGGATGTAGCTGATATTTTACGTCGAATGTCTAGTAATGAATGGGCTGAACGAAAAGAAGGTCTTGTCAGTTTATATCATACGGTTCGATTAGGTCGTGCATTCAGGTAAATTTTCATAGAATTCATCTATTTAAAATAATATTCTTCTGTATAGTCCTCCGGAATTAAAACTTTTAACTGAATTATTAACAAAACGTTTTTATGATCCAAATTCACAAGTATTTGCAGCATTCCTTGATGTTTTACCAGATTTTATCATAGCATATAAACGTGAATTGAATGATTGGCTTTATATTTTACTCACTCGTTTATTAATTCGTTTGGGTTCACCTGATATACTTGATTCGGTTTTTAAAAAATTAAAACAATGTTTATCGATTGTTAATACATCATTTGATGTTCATGCACAATTTATTGTTCTTATTCGTTTTATTAATGATAATTCTTCAGCACCAGCAATTAAAGTTAAAGAAATACTTTTACGTTATTTACAACAAATTATACAACATATGGAACCTGTTGATATAACTAATAATACAGATATTCGAATAACTTTATCAAAAATTATTAATTGGTCAAGTGAACCAAAAAGTGTTGAAATGAGAAAAGTAAAAAAAAGAAGCAAAAAAGGAAAAGATTGCCAATTAAAATAAAATATATGATTTAACTTTAGGCTGCACAAGCTGTTATTCTTGCACTACATAATCTTAATCGACCAGAATTTAATATAATGCTTACTGCTTTATCACAAAATTGTCAAGTATGTTTCTTTTAATTTACATTGTTTTTTATTTAGTAAACGTTCAGTTCTCATATTAAATAGTTTAGTATACCTTGTACTTCTTTAGCTATATGGACTTTTGTGTCCATTTCTTATATTTGGAATACATCGTGCATTGAAGTTAACTTAGTCTACAGAATAGAGCTACATAGGAAATGCGACTAAAACGTTTTGATTACAAAACAAGATGTATGTGAGCTTGTAGAGGTAGGTTTCCTCTATTTAATATGGTATATATGTTAAGGTTCTACTGTTTCTCGTTGACATGTCAACAGGTGGTGTCACCTTCATCGCATTCTACCATAACCGCGGCAAAGATGGCGCTATCTATTGATCTGTCAACAGTATGCAGTAGAATCCGATAAAATATGCACATTAAATAGAGAAAGTGTATCTCTTTAAGCTTGTTCATACTCCATTCTATAATTGCCTTTCACTAATCAATACTGAATAGAGATATCATTGTAAAATTTATTCTGTCATTCATTTTGTACTCTGATACATTCATCAAACACGAGTTTATCTCACTAATAAAATTGTTCAAATACAATTGAAGCAAACATTAATATTATTAGGTTCTGAGTTGGATTTAAATATGAGCGGGATCATATTGTCCATATCTAGTAAGATCATTATGGTGTCAACTACAGTCAAAAAGAAACAATACTTGCCTTCACTATGTTTGTTAGAAGCATATTAGACTACATTTTTTATTTTCGAGTAAGTCTGTGAATGCAAAGATCATCATTCATGTCTACGAGTCCTGCTATTCCTAAACATGATACACGACAAAATCTATACTGAGAATTATCTATGAATTTTTCATAAATTTAGCTCTATCTGAATGCAAAAGTATATCATTAAGTGAAAATATGCTTGCTATCATAGTCAGAATCATTCGTATAATTCATTGTAAATTCTATCGTTACTTCGAATCTGTCGATCTTTGCGTTTATTTCAAAACATCTACTGATTAAATCTAAATTTGACCTATGATATTAAACAATATTTTATTTATAATACCAACTCTCAAATAAATGCATATATTCTATTATTGACATTAATTCTTTTTATTTGTTTGTCTATTTTAGGATGTTGCTGCAAAAGTCATTCGATCTGCTAATGATATGCTTTCATCCACTCACTCTCAACTAGACAATAAGTAATAAAAGCAAAAAAAAAACAAGAATAATTTATTTTCCCTATATCATATTTATGTCTTTTTCTCTTGATTTTTTTTTGTTTAGATATGATTTTTTTCATAGACCAAGTTATTCTGATGTAACATCTCCAATGACAACATCAATGCATTCAGAAATTCAAAGTCCATCTTATGCATCTGATATGCGTATATTAATGGAAAATATGCAAGCATTAAATGTAAATAATCATCAAGATGATTTATTATTAATAAATTCAACATCATTAAAAGATAAAGAACAACGTTCAATGATTCCTATTCGAAATTATTCATCACAATCTTATCGTACAAATTTAACACAAAGTCATATGACAGAAACAGCAGATGTATGTATATAATAAAAATTGTATTATTTAAATCAATTCATTTATGTCATATCTAGAGTATTTATGATGCATCTGATCGTCCAGCAGCAATTAATATAGCTCTTAATGTGGCAAATACAACAACATTATCAAAAGAACAACGACAACATGCATTACGTTGTGTATTAAAATTTGCAAAATTAAATGATGCTGAAACATGGGATATAGCATTTAGTAAAACATTAAATACTTTAACACAAATTCTTGATAATACAAATGATGATGTTATGTTTAAAGTTTATAGTCTTCGTATAATACGTGAATTATTAACTCATCATACTTATTTATTTATGAATTATATTGAATTAACTATATTTCGAATATTAAAAGCACAAAGTGAAAATGAAAATGATGTAAGTTATTTTTTAAAACGAAAAAGAACTTTATCGAATTTTGTGATCTATCATAAACCAGGATACTATTCATGTAACTTTGTAGAACAATTTGCGGTGCATCCAATAGTATATAAGAAATCAAGTTTTGATATGCTGAGAGTGTATATAATGATTATCATCTTTGAGAAAAGTATATATATGGTACGCAATAGACATAATGGTTCCTAAGATAAACTTATGCAAATTTTGTTTCTAAACTTATTTCGATAGAGTTACAGGTGCTCTTCAATTTTCTACAATCAATATTTTTCATCGTTATTTGCTTCATACTTAAAAATGGTTCCTCTTATTAGATCTAGGTCATTTCTTGACTACTTGACATTTCAGTATGCTCAACTTTGTACCATAGAACAACTGAACCTTTTTCAAAACTTGCACATTATCGAGCTCTATATGTTTTATACATAACATCTTTTGAAAAATTAGGGAAAGATTTTCAACTTGCAAGATTGTTCCTCAGAATAGACTTTTACATGAAGAGATAGGTACGTAGATGAAATTTTAATGATCTTATTAAAAATTTTCATGTACCAATAATCAGCACAGCATTCCGGATGAACTACTATACGTAATTTATTTATAAATGAAAAAAGTCTTTTGACCTTCTGACCCCTGGTAGGGAGTACAAAAATATGGAAGTATTTCTTTTTCAAATTAGCATGATATATTAATAGATTCTTCTGGAGTTTCATGCATAAATCAAACCTGGATGCTTGGGAATAGAAATAATAGATCTTCTCTCTACAACATTATGACTGGCCGGAATTTTGCTGATAGTAGATTAATGAATTGGCGAAAGTTCTATTAGTGAAATTTCAGAACCTCAGTCATATACTAGTACTCCCATCGAGGGATCCAAAAACCAAGAAATTTTTCAATTTATAAACAAGATAGCAGTTCATTACGGATGCCATGTTGATAATTGATACATGAAAATGTTTAATAGGATCGTTAAAATATCGTCCATATACCCGTCCTTTCAAATAGGAAAATTGCCTATTCCAAGGGATAATTTTGCAAGTTGATAATGAGCTCCTTTTTATTCTGCAGGATGTTATCTAGGAAATATACATAGTTCAATACTATACAAGTCTTGAGAAAGTTGCATTTGTCCTATGACACAAAACTAAGGTGAAAACTATTGATTATAGAAAAATTGAAGAGTATCTATAACTCTATCGAAATGTGTTTAGAAACAAAATTTGCATAAGTTTACCTTAGGGAGCATTATGTCTATTGAGTACCATATATATTTTTCTCACGAATGATAATCATTATATAGACTCTTAGCATATCAAAATTTGATTTCTTATATACTGTTGGATGCACTACAAATTGTTCTATAAAACTATATATGTAGCATCCTAGCTCAACTTAGATGATTAAATATGATAAGATCCTTTGAGTATTATTTTAATTATTTGTTTTATTTAGATAACTCGTGCAGCTGAACAAGCAGCTCATGCTGCAGCTGAATATTTACCAGCTGAAAGTACTGTTCGTGTACTTAAACCAATAATCGAACAAGCAAAATATCCAATGAATCAATCAGCTATAACAATGTTACAAAAGACAATTGAATTCATGAATAAAGATATATGTCTTGATTTAATGCCTGAAATGATTCCACCACTTTTAACGGTAAGTTAAATTAAATTTATTATTTTCTTTTGTCTTTGATTTAAAATAATAATGCCTATTTCCAAAAACAAAAGGTGTGGGATGCTAATTCCCACAATCTTACTGGTGCGACTAGTGTAAGTGCATGAGGAAAAAAACCAGGACGAATGTTTTTCAATAAGAAAATAAAACATTATTGCTTTGCCTGACATGCCTGCATGTAATATGATGCCTTTAAAGATTGCTTCAATTTCCGATTAAATTTATTAATAAAATGAGATTTTTATAATTTTAGTCTTGGGATAATGAAACATCAAGTGTAAGAAAAGCCGCTGTTTTTTGCTTGGTGTCAATTTACTTGGTTGTTGGTGAAGCACTTCGTACTCATTTACATAAACTAAGTGCAAGCAAGGTAAAATCACAGTTGTACTCAAGTTTAAATGTTTGTAGATAGGAGTGTTCAACATACGAGAAAGGATAGTAATGATGACTGCTTCAATAATGGAAAATTTACACAACGTTCAGTCATTTTTGTTATCGGTTTCCGATGTTTATTAACGATTCATCTTCTCAAATAATCAATCTTCCATTGAGAGACATATCTACTTTCGTGTATCACAAAGATTAAAACAGCTAGTAGGACCAATCACGGTCTGCCGGAAGCGGGATGATCTAAATTTTTGCTTCAATACTTCTTAACACTCCTTTTAAATCGTGTTTCACAAAATCAAAAGGAACGCAACAGTCAATTGCGATGGAAAAAAACATATTTCAACGATGAAACGAGCAAAAAAACTAATCAGCTTACAATAACTTGAGCCGATCTTTTTGCCTCTCTCTACAGACTGATGAAATTTCTCAATGACAAACTAGATTAAGACTTAAAAATTTAATATATAACAGTAATATTCTGTATTCATATAACAAATCTTGGGTATTTATCGCTCAGACCTACGTGTATGTGTAATAAAGAAAAACAAAACCCGTACTATTCAATCTCATTTTAGATACGATTTCATCAGGTACTTTTTTTCAAATATTTGTAGCTACGAGCAATTTTATTTATTTATTAACCGAATAATCTGATTATTTAAAATACTTTTAAATAAAAAGAAAAATTTTTCTCTCTAGATCAAATTATTAAATGTTTATATTTCCAAAGCTCAACAACAAACAGCTACAAGCAATACAGAAAAGTCATCAACAACAAACGGAACTAATAATACAACTTCCTAACCTTGTCGCCATATTTTCATTTGTTTTTCTTTGTGTGTGTGCTTGTGTACATAGAGAGTTAGACTTTTTACTTTTATTCTTAACTAAATGTATGTGTGCTTTATAAAAACAAAAAGAATTTTTCTTAATTGAATACAATCTAAATCTAAACGTCATTAAATTGTGTATAGAGTTTTTTTTTTCTTCATTCATAACTTACACAGATCTGACATTATCGTATTAGTTAATGTCTTTAATACGACAGATGTTCTCAAAGAAAGCGAAAGCTTTGTAAAAGAAAAGATAGATCTAAACATATGGAAGAGATTATTAAATATCTTTTTTGAGTCACATAAATTAATTGAAATATATTGAAAAGTATGTATAGTCTTATATTTCTAATAAGATTGAAGAACAATACGAATTATGCTAATTAAAATTTTTATCTTTGACGTCAATTTATCAACGTCTTGTATTGTTTGTTGTTTTATATCGTTGATAAATAAAAAGAATTTCAACTAATCTGTTTAAGTCGGCTAGATGTTATTCGAGTATTAAGATAATTCTTTGTGTTATCCATAAAATTGTTCATATAAAATGCCATTAAAAAAGACTAGCATATCGATTATATCCAGCTGTTATTGAATAGAGTTGATCCATGACTTGGTATTTTTATTATTAATTATACAATGGATAATAGAAGAATATGGTAACTACCAACGAAGTATACTTTTTACTTCGATGTAAATTAATGTATTTAAAATATATATTGTATTAAAAAATCATGAATTACTAGATAAAATGAAATCAAAAAAAAAAAATTAATGAAATAGTTTAAACTCTATGAATGTACTAGTTTTACATCAGAATAAACACTCATGATAGAACCTAGTTAGATTTTATCGAACATGAATCAACAAACATTATTCATCAGAACTGTTATAAACATAGTATCTCATGTTTATGTTCTGATCATACAACAATAAAACAATTCTTGAATAAGATAATGCACCAAATTCTATCGCGAAAGACATCATTGTTTGTATAAGAGGAACTTAATATTCAAGTTGTAACACATGATGATATATTGATTTAGAATTGTAGATGTGGCTCTTATTAACTATTCGATTCAGCGATTTATGAAAGAACGAGAAGAGGAAGATGCAAAGTGTCTACATTGAACGACATGAAAAATGTAAGAAAAACAGGAGTGAGAAAAATCTTGAGTAAAATGACATTGAGAACATTTTGATGTTATTTGAAAAAAGATTTTAGATTAAATTACTGTACTCATCAATCATATATTGAATGTTTATTTCAATAAAACACAAAAAAAGTTGTATACTTTGTTGAAAATTAATAGAATGACTTGTATACTAAATGAACAAACTTGCTGACAATCAACAGTTTGTTAAGAAAAATATAAGATCACTTTTTATTATATATTAAATAATAGGCGTTATAAAGTAAAAAATTTATCAAATATACATTGATTATTATGACTAGATGTTCGTACTTAATAACAACAACCTTTATATAAAAACATAAACGATAGTTATTACTCATTTGGCATTATAGTTATATTCGATAAAAAAAAAAACAATAATTTTTAATGATATTCTATTTATATATGTATTCGCATCAGCTAGACTCCAGAAGAAAAAGTGTAACGTGCCTATTATCTCTTTTATCTGACCGTTAAACAGATATTTCTGTGTAATGCACGACAAAATAGTTAGATCAACAAAAAATATTCTTGGTAAAATTTATTCTATAATTAGAAAATAAGCAATGCGTGATTTGTGGAAAATAGCTATTATTAATAAATAAGAAATTTTATGTTTTTGTTCATTAAATGAATGGATAACAAAGCCGTTAACCAGAAAGAAAATTTTCTACTATGTGATAAATAATTTGGTTCGATAAACAGATAGACTAATTGTTGATTCTGTTCAGTAGATAAAATGGCAACTGTTAATATTATTGTATCATATGTGTCAATCATAGTCGAAAATAATTTTTGTTTTTGTTGTTTATGTTGATGAGTAACATATTATTGCGTGGTTAGAATTTTAATGAATTCGAAAATTGTTTTTCATTTATTCTCGGAAGTATATATATTACGAGACAAGCTAATGATTCTATGTCATTTTATCATACATTTGTCTTTTTTTTCATTGTTTTAGATCGTCTCTGTCAGGTCAAGTTTATTAAGAAGGTTTTCTTTTTATTCCAGTAAATAAACAAGTAAATCATTTTTTTTAAATAAATTCAAAGTAAACTTTATAAGTTAGAAACACCACTAAGTCTATTCCGTAGACAGGCAATTACTATTTCGTAAGAGCTTATTTCTTTGTGTACGAAAAACTTTTATATTTGCTTGAATAAAAATTCATATTTCAAAGAAGATTTCAATAAGATTATTCGGATTAAATTAAAAACAATGAATAAAATGACAAAATCATAGTAATCATTTTATCCTAGTTAAAAGAGAGAAAAAAATATTTTACAGAGGCGGAGATTGAAGAGAAAAAAATATATAGAGAGAAAAATTTCTCTTTCTTTTTTTCTCTTGTCTCACCAGTGTCATTTCATTCACCGTCGATCTATATAAACAGTCTTCTTTTCATCGATATAAATCTGTTGTCTTAAACGCTACTTTCTACATTAGATTAATAATAATCACTTTTGATTCATCATCAAAATGAAGTTATATGGCTTTATATTTGTCCTACTTATTGTCTTGATTCAAACGTATTTAACTCCAGCAAAACTAATGGAAAGTTCTTCGAATAGTGACAATTATAAACAGTAAGTGCATAGAGAAAATAATGAGCAGCTATAAATGACATTTAGTTCCGTTTTAAATTTGGACAGAAAAAAAAATATTTCCGATTACTGAAATAATATATATGTTTTTTTATTCGATATTCTAATTTAAATTGTCATAGAGTTCTAATGGTTTTTTCTTTCATCTACTTATGACTATATAATTGATCCTTTTCGGTTTCTTTTTATTAGTTAGTCAATAAAAGAGAATAACACAAGAGTATCTAACAAACTCAAAAAGAAAAAAAAATGATGTGATTGAATTAGACAAATATTTATTTTTTTTGTTGTTTTCTTGGCTTATAAATCATTTCCTAGAGATATTTTTTTATGAACTATTCATTTTGACATCATATAGTTTTTTTAAAATGATTCTATGCAAAATTAGCTAAAATTTACAGATATTTCTCAATTCATTTTTGATTCTATAGATAATCTATTTGATCATTAGTAAATAGTAATTGATTTGAGTAGTTTATTGCTATAAATACAATTGATTTATAAAATAAATGAGGTCATATACTTAGTTGTTGCTTTTTTGGGTTGATTCAATTTCATTTGTTCTCTAAACAAAACTTCATCAAAAAAATGTATATAACTGAATATTAGAATAACTCAAGTCAACTTGTATTTTTGACAATCTTTAGAAAATAAAGTAGTGTAATAAATAAGTTCAATATAAAATAAAAATTATTGTTGTTTCTTGTTTTTTTGTATCCCGGAATACATTTCTTTATTTTTTTAATGTATTTTAGCGTTTTAAGTAAACGTATAAATGGATTGTGGGGAAAACGTTTGAACAATTTATGGGGAAAACGATCTGATAGTGATAGTGACGAAATGCACCAATATGTTCTTCAAGAACTCTATGATCAAGCACGTCGTAATCAATTTGCACATCCTCGATTTTCAGCTTACAATGATTGTAAGTTAATTCATTTGAGAATAATATACATTTTTTTTTTTGTTATTCTTTAGTAAGTCCTCTTACTATTGAAAAATTAATGGCACAGCGTATACAATCGAATGATGACAATGAAAACGCAGCGGACAATATGTCATAAAAGAATAATAAAGGACAGGATTTATCTTTTTCTTTCGATCTTTTTTTCTCTTTCTTACATATTTTGTGTAATAATCTATATCAGCAAAATAAATTCGAACAGTATGCTGTGCATTTTTTACCATCAGTTTAAATTGTGCTTTTGATTTTAAAACTAATGTTTTTAAGAAATATATTATATATCACGAAAAGATAATCATTGGAATTACGATATGATTTTCAAAATAATCACTTTGCAATAACTTCCATGAATTGTATTAACTTAGGATCTGCAAATATTTTCCTACAACGTATTATTATTTATACTTATTTTTGTGTCTTATTTCCGCTGACATTTGCTTTTTTTCCAGAGTAATTTAAATAATCTATACCCGAATTTGACATTCAGACTTCATACGAACCATTACTAATATAATAGATATAAACACCAATGTGTTTTTTTTACATATTTATAGTCAATTAAACAAATTTTATAGTTCATAGCATGTATGGGATAAACGTTTAGTATAATTTGTTATAGAATAATTGAATCGGTTCGACAGAATAAATGGCTCAATATTTTTTCGATATTTCATATGTTCTAGCCATTTGAAATATTTTTTTTTAAATTAAAAAGTTCGGCTTTTAATTTCCTAAAAACAGGTATGTTTTTATCAATGAAAAAAATGCTTCCTAGTTTTCTGAACGGCAATATAAGAAAGAGTATTTGAATAAAAATGACTTTCTAGCTCAGGCTTTTTATGAAAGTTTACTATCATACTTATTAATTGCTCAAGTGATGCTATAATTCATTCTTATCTGTTCTCATTTGTTAGCACAGATGGAACTCGATTTAGTTCTAAAAAGCACGAACCTATTGTAACGACAAACTGGAAGAGTAACTCACCACCACCGTCGCTAATGATCTTTATTGAGCTACTTCATATCTACAGAATGTAACTACTTCATATATGACACATGCTTATATAGGAGAGAGAAAGATGAGCACAGGAAAGAATAGTAGAGAGGATAAATTGGAAAGCGGAAGGGAAGATCAGCAGGAGTTGATATCAATATTAACACATCGATTCCACCTTCGTTTGTTAATGGTGAGTTTTCAGTGTAATTAAATAACACCACATTGATTTGGGCATTGATTATTCAAAAACCAATAATCATTATATGCAGAAGAAATAAAACTGTCATTTATCCATACATTATTCCGATGTCATTTGTAGTTGTTCATTTAATTGTTTTAATTCTCAGTTATCTGTAAGAACTACAATCTTTCAATGTGTACTAAATCAAAGTACTGAATGCAGTCTGATAAACAATACGAATAAGAAGCTTCATGATCACAAAGAGGTTCATATATAAGAGCACAAACATACATGCCAAGATTTTACTCAATGATAGAATCGTGATATTTGTGTGTTAAGTTGATAAACAAATTTTATCTTTGAATAATCGATGCCCGAATCAGTTAGATTATTCTATTTTAATGGAGATGTACCAGTACCAAGTAAGAACAGATTACAGTGGAAAATATCATCATTCGAACAATTAATAAGTATGATAACAAACTTGTGTATAAAAACGTTAAGCTAGAAAATAGTATATATTCACATACTCTTTTATATTGTCTGTCAAAAAGCTAGAAAACATGTTTTTCGTTAATAAAAATATAAACCATTTTATAGAGAATTCGAAGCTGAATCTTTTAATTTAAAAAAAATTTCTTTCGAACAGGCAAGAATAGTTTGACATAAGACCCGTCGGATCTGTTGTACTTGTTGTTTTCTTATAGATCATTATCATGATCAGACAGATCGCAATTTGACTTAGCTTGAAATTCCTCTACATCTTTTCAAGTCACATCCGGATGAGTAATTGTTTCCGATGAGTAAATTTGTAATATGGTAAAAAATGAATTTCACAATAAGGCCATATATCATAACTGGTAATAGACAACTCAATTCAACATAATGTTTTCAATATGATAATTTGTTCGAACACTATACTCCTTTGGGCACGAATTCAGATTTAATTTTTATGTTTTTCTGCGCTTTGATGTGATTTTTTTTATGTAATAAAAGATATTTATTATGTATTATAGCCACGATCATATAGAGACCACGACTCGCTACAATTAGCCCTATTTTAAAAGACAACAGCCATTAATAAATAGAAGTGATAGCTGACTTTTTATGCATACGTGACACTTGTCTAAATCTTGCTTTTTTATGTTAGTGTTACGTCTTTCGTATAGTTTTTGTGGAATTCACATTACGTTTTTCGAAGAAAAATATAGTAAGTGTAAGTACTAAGTCAATGCTCTACGACTTTCTCCCTTTCTATATATATATATTAGCAACCTAGTATCAAGGTCAGAGAGCAATGAGTATGTTTTTCCTATTCGTGGGAAGGTTGAGAGAAGAAAGACTAAGATTTATTCGGTACATTTCTTTAGATATAAAGAAAAATAGACGTCAGACTCATTCCTTCGCAGCAGAAAAAGTGCTGAACGGTATTAACAATCAGATTTAAACTGTTCAAGAACATTCGAAAGTCTTCCGTGAAATTTGAATGGCTGGAATAAGTTTATGAATGTTCGAAGTAGTGCAGTTCTTGATTTTTTTCGTAGATAAAAATTTATATTCAAAATGTTAATAATGATAGATAGTGACGCATTGATTTGCTACAGTAGTTATATGATTAACATAAAAAGATTACATTGATTAATTCATAACCTTGAGAAATAATCAACATTAGTATTTGTAAGCTTATTGACATGTATAATACTGCGGTGAGATCTGCTGTAGATATAATTGATATGTGCAACAAGTTTATCTGCCAGTTCGAATAATAATAATAATAATAATTTTAAATTAAGCAAAATAACGAGCAAGGAGTAGTAAGACAAACAAAAAATAGAGCGACAGTAAACAAAACTTCTGTTCGAAGTGCAGAAATAAATAAAACAGATTGTCTCTTCTGGCGACCGCGTATTCTTGGAAAATAACTGTAGTCTACTAGAGATTTTTCACTTGACGTTTTTTATATTAGTATAATTAAGCTAAAGAACATATGTGGGTTCCACAATCTAGCCCTAAAGGAGCTTCACTAATAAGTTGTTCTGTTTGAATATTTACTATCGTTTGCCAATATCGGTTTAATTAATTATTTTTATTCGAATAGAGATTGATTTACAAATCGTATGTTCACTAGCAATAATGCTGAGCATGGATGACTATCAGTTAAGATGGTCAGAGCAAGAAATATATTTACTCATAGATGCTGAAACAGCTTATTAGCAATGATCTTTTGTCGAACAAATCTAAGCATTATATTAAGAATGTAAAAAATTACTAAGAAGTTGACACAAATGAAGATGAAGATGTTGATATCAATATAAAAGTAAATAATAATAGTGAATAACTTTCATTAAATAGAAATATCGAGAATAGTACTTCTGAAATTAATTATCAGAGTACTTGATAGATATTGAAGAGGTTACGTTTATGTATACATCTGTTGTCATATATGTGAAATATATAAATTTGAAAAGTTTATTTTACACTCGTTTTTTGTATACATATTTTCATAAATCCAGTTCGATGATCTATTAATAATATCATGTCATTATATAGTCGATAGTGTCATCAAGCAAAAACATTTAAGTATGATGATAAAGTAATAAAAATTTGTTTCAGAAAAAATTATTATACACACTATTCGTCAACTTGAATTTAACACTAAAGAAATATAAGGTTGGCCGTCATAATGTCGAAAGGAAAAATGTCGAAAAGAAAAATGTCGAAAGGAAAAATGTCGAAAGAAAAAAATATCGAAAGGAAAAATGTCGAAAAAATAATATTGACATGAAACATTGTCGGTTAATATTTTAGAGAATTGTAAATAATATAGTGCATGTTTTTTTCCATAAAATTAAGTTGAAATCTCAACAGTGAGAAAAATATAAAAATAAATAAAAAATTAAAATGTTATTTTTTCACGAACTTNTTCGTTTCAATTGAACGAAATTTATTTACATTTTAACATTGAACTGGTAATATATTTGGTTCAACGTTGAGCTGAAATAAAAATTTGTTCATTGCCGAACCAGATTCATATTTGTTCAATATCAACTATGATTTTAGCCCATGTCGTCTTTTTTTTCGAAAACCGACGGTTAACCGACGGTCAAAATCCGAACCGGTGGTCAAACACGGTTAACCGATGGTGTTGTTTAGTTAGTTTTACCATATGTAATTGATGAAAAGTACAAGGAAGAAACAGCTAAAATAAGATTTTTGACTTTTCTGATTTAACGTTGATGAAAAATAAAAATAAAATCTTTCTTTCTTCGAAAAGAATTAATGCAAAATGTATCCCCAAAGCGAAAGCCTTTTGCCTAGCATAGAGAAGATTGATCAGATTTTTTTCTATAAACGCATAGCTTTTGAAATTAACATGCATGGCTATTCGGCACGGACAGAAACATGCAGAGACTTGTTTTTTATTTAGATGTAATACAACACCCAAACCAAGTGTAAGTATAAATTTATGAAAAAATAAAATAATTTTTTTCATTTAGATATGGACCATCACTGAACTGAAATGTAAATATAAATTTTTGAAAAAAATAAGTTCCTTTTTTATTTAGATGCGATCCAACACACACTGTAATTTTTTTTTGAAATTCTACTTTTTAGAAAATTGACTTTAAAAAGTTGCAGCATTTTCAAATTTTCATTATTCATTAGTTGAATTTTGAAAATTTAGAAAATGCTCCATTTTCGAAAAAACATTGTCCGAAAAAATGAAAAATCAAGACGGATTGTGAATAAAATTCGAAAATCAATTTCGATTTGAAGAAAATGATTTGAACAATGATCGCTATGGTGTCATTGTACATTCATGTATATAAGTCAGGCCGGTAGTGTTGTGCATACATTATTTTCTTCGGCAGCTATAGTGAAAGGTAATAAATTATATTTTTTCAACTGCTGCGTGAGTCAAGGCACTTTGAATGCATTTAAAATAAAATTATTTATTCATATATTTTATTCGGTGCATTTATATCAGTCAAATGCTGACGAATTTATTTAAATTAAAGTTACTTTATTTATTTATTTTATTTGATGCATTTGCGTGAATTTAATGTTTATGAATTTATTAAAATCAAAATCAAAATTAAATTAAATCAAATTATTTATTTTATAACATAAAAATCGAATTCGATTTTCCAGTTTTAAAAAAATACTCGAATTGCTAAATAGAATCCGAAATTCTAGGAATGCCTATATGAATTCACTTTCGATTTTCTAATTGGAAAATCAAATTTCTTATTCTTAATGTTTCGAAAATCTTATTTTCAAAGAATTAAAAATTCATTGGTGAATTCATATGGGCATTCCTAGAATAACCTTCAATAAACTCTAACTTATTTTCTAGTTTACAGTGCGTAATCTAAGTGTAAGAATAAATTTTAAAAAAATATAGCTTTTTTGGTTAGATTTAATTGAAAAACTTATGCAAGCTTAAGTATGAATTGATAAATTAAATTGCGTATTTATCCATACGATCAATTTGAGGGATGCCGCAAGTCCTGCGCTTCTACATAAAGATTTTAGATTTTCAGTAATAAAGCACCCAAATTAGATCAAATATTCATATCAATTGTAAGTTAGAAACATTTTTAGTCGCTCTACTTGATATTGCAGTACCATATTTGTTAAATCTCAGAAAAACACTTCCGACTTCCGAGATTCTGTAAATATAGTAATACAATATGAAGTAGTGGGACTAAAATTGGTTATAATTTATAATTGACACAAAGATTTGGTTGGATTCGGAAGTTTTCTTACCGAAAGTGTACAGTCTTAAGGTAAATAAGCAGGATTTGATGCATTCCTAAAAATATGATAAACATCATGAGTAGGGAGTGTAGGAAGGATGTTGAGAGGGTTATGATGAAGAACTATCTCTTGACCATGCTTACCGCTGGTTAACCTCCCAGTTAACCGGCGGTTTTTTACCGGTTCGAGTGACATGGAAGTTTTCTTCAATGTTGAATGAAGTTCATTGTTTTTGAAATGCTCAACAAGTTTTATTTCAGTTTAACTTAGAGCGCGCATTGATTCATTTTTAATTTCAAGCGCGAATCAATTCCAGTTTATCGTTGAACGAGAGTTTTTAGAAGCTGCATTCATGTGAATTTGTTTGAGTCTAGTTCAGAACCCTGATTTTATTTGTCTATGATGATATGAGTGGAGTACGTGAAATTTCATAACGGGAAGCATTACTCGTTTTCTTTTTCAGAAGTGAAAACTCAAGAGTTAGTTTATTGCAGGTTGCAATTTTTCTTCCTTTCATCAGTACCTTCTTTATTTAATTTCACGAAAAAGGTTTCAGAATAGATTCTAGCATTTTAATCAGTGTCAATAGCTTTGTTACATAGTTGTATAGTGACGACATCGCGTTTCTCATTACTTCAAATTACTGTTTTCAAATCGTATGTTTTCGACTGGTTAAGGCGTGAAAATCACTCATAACATGTACCTAGGGGTATAGGAACGTCTGCGTTTTACTTGGTTTTACTACCTCATTGTAAGTTTAACAAAGCAAACTCGTTTATAGAAAATGTAGAACGACCGAGTAATGAAACCGGACGGTTGATAGAACAGTTTAAATATAATGAAGCTTCATGGAACAAGACGACTTAACTGCTGCATTTTGCGTACGTAAAAACTGAACGTCTGCAACGGTTTCACGAAAAAGGTTTCAGAATAGATTCTAGCATTTTAATCAGTGTCAATGGCTTTGTTACATAGTTGTATAGTGACGACATCGCGTTTTTCATTACTTCATTTGACGGTTGCCATCACGATCATAACGAAGATGAAAATCATCATCAAGAAGATGAGGACGATCAAAACAAAGACGATTATCATATGCATCGTTCATTTTTGGATTATCTTTAGTGTTTTTGATATCAGCTTGGGCGTAAGCTAAAATTGAAAGTTGAGTTTGTTTTGTTTGGAATATCTGAAATTATACTTGATTGATCAAGTTTAGTGCTCCTCATTGTTGATGAAGCGCGGTTTGTGCAAAAAAAAGTCGATTTTTGTCGAAATCCGTTACGGATTTTTATGGATTGTTTGACCGGTGAAACTCTTTCTTTTGTAGAAATATTAGATGTGAGAAATCTTAGTACTCAGAAAAAACATGTGAAAGTGCCATTCTATTCTTTGTATTATCAGGGATAGAACTACATTATTCATTTCAAGAAAGCGTTATTCAGATTTTTGAAAAAAATTAATTATTTTCAAAAATCTTAAAATCTCAAAAACTGCTACTATGCAAAAAAAGATATTTAAAAATTACTCTAATTCCTCATTTTGTCACGAAGTACAAACAACTATTCAGAATGACAATCCGGAAACTTGCAAGGAATTTCTGAAATTTAATAGGACATAGGAATTAAATTTCCAGGAGGCTTTGGTAATGAGTCATATACCATATCGAATTTTCTATGTAATTTCCGAAGTTGCTAACCTATAAGAAAGCGATCTACAAGGTATTTTCCTAATTAATAGTCTTCGACAATGAATTGCCCAGTTAGTTTCAGAAAAAATAGTATTGTTTAACTATCACGAACTTATAGCAAATATTTGGCAGAGCAATCAAGGTTATGGAGATAACAATAATTAGGGCAATGTGAGAATGGGTTTTGACATGCACTTTTAGAGAACACTATAACATGAGAGCAAGTTTCAAACCGATTATGAAGAAAATCTTTGTAATTAGTAAGAAATTATGAAAATTTTCATGAAATCTCTTCTGTTAACGTCTTTAAGTTAAAAAAAATCCATAGAAAAACACAGCTCTAGCCAAAAAGACTACAAGAGTTTCCAAAAATTTCATTGAATACTTGGAAACGATAGAAATCAAGAAAATTCATATGATTTCTTTGATATTAAATGACAGAGAAGACCATGCTCTTTCGATTTTCCCCTACTTATATCTAAAATCGGGAAAAATATGCACATATCAAGTAAATGTGTGCATAGTTTTTCATGATTTTAGCGTACAAGTAGAAAAAAAATGAAACAACCAAATTTTCTCAACAATGAGACAAAAAATATAGAAAAACTTCTAGGGTACGTTCGAAGCTCAATATTTAAGAACTCTAATAAGATGCGATACTTGGTCCTATCTCTTAATATAAAAAATTAGAAAAGCTTACAAGATTGTCTATGGATATCACAAAAATGTGTTTAGGTGATCTTATTTGACAGAGCCATGCCGGACAAAACATCCAATTCCAACTTATTCAATTAACATTTTTAGCTAATGTTTTAGTGGTGAACTAGGAAATAGTTCTTTTAAAAAATATACTTAAATGGAGGTAACAAAAAAAAATTCAGTTTATGACGAAGACAGTTTTTTTAGCTGCTTTAAACTCGTTTTTCATATCTTTCTCATCGTTGGTTTCCATCCCTTAAAAATGAACCAATCGATTTCAAAATAATACACCTCTGATCAACTTTTTATGTTCTGTCGAATGATATATAGAGGAGCGAGAAAAATAAATTTACTCAATTTTTGCATTATGCGCAATTCTGACACGATGCAAGTTCAATATTACAGGTCATCTAATTTACTCAGTCAAATGTTCGACTTTTTGAAAGATGGAAGTAATGTAGACATAATTGTATCATTTCATTACGTGTCTGTCGTATTAATGTTACACCAGCCGATGATCTTGTAACTTTGGCATATATATCTTTCCGAACTCTATATAATACGATTATCAATAGACTCGTCTACTTAATAATGCGTGAACAAAAGTTAACTTTCCACACGTAGAAAATCTATATCTAACAGGAGATATTACAGACGAAGAATATAGTTTTTGTAAAAACTGGAGTATTGATGATGGATGATCCTTTATTATACGTAGTTGAGGTTTCCAACAAGTGAATAGTATCGGTTCTCCGCTTCAATGTGTTCATTTTGCAACAATTAAAATCAATTTATGAATTCTAATATTGTTATTTAGACTCTGTTTTGTTAACAATTTTCATATGTTAATTAACTGTTTTGGGTTTAAATTAGGTATAAATGCTACAAACTTTATGATAACCGGTATCGAAAGTATATATATTTTGCCATAAAAGTTATTGCGTGGGTTCCTCATATGTATATTCATAGAACACAATCTTTCACTATTCTATAGGATATTTATTCATGTTTATCGTCATCGAAAGTTTTAATGGCAATCCGCATGAAAGGTTTGAGAAAGTTGATCGATTTTCGAACTAACTCCCAATCATATCAAGTAAAGATGAATGAAGTTTAATGCTCTATACTTTGCTTGTTTTTGTAATAATTCGTGCATATTATTTATCATCATCAACTGATTAATTAAATTTTAAGAGAAATATAAGTTCAATTTACACATTATAACATGAAAATAATTAGTTGATTAATTATTTATTGATTTCCTTAGTAGATAAAACTTTGAAACATTTACATGAGGAAGTTACAACTACATCGGCTGATGTTAACTTCAATACAGCATTCTAATAAGAATGGAAATATTTAGGAAAAATACTGCTTATATTATAAAAATCATGAGAAAAGATTTGTTCCCACTTACCAGAAAAATTTTGTCTCAGTTGCAAGTAGATCAAATATTTGTTCGTCTTGTGATTGAATTCAACACGTTCAACACGGAAACAAACTCCTGGTGTAATAAGTTCTTCTTCTTCATCGGGATATTCAGATAATCCACGAAGATCAGCGATGAAAGCAAACAATACATCCATGATGAATACAGTATTACCAAATTGTTCTGCTTTTTCACGACTGCGGCTACACGATGTAAAAGCTTGAAATGATCGATATTCGTCGGGATTCTTAACCATCTCTTCATAAGCAGCAATCTGCTCAGGTTTCAATTCGGCTCCTCGGTAAAGAGTCGTGTCGGTTTTCATTTTTTTATTGTAAGGATCATCCCAGAGTAGTAAACAGAACGGACCCAATGTTCGAATTTTACTTCGCCATATTTTCTCATGCTCCTTGTCTCCTACTAATCTCATGGTCGCGTTCAAGGTTTTGTACAAGAAACTTTCCAATGAGTAAAGGTAAACACAACACTTCCATACTTCTTTCATCTTCTTGTTCTTTTTTTCTCGAAGCATGTTAGCCAATTTTTCGGCTTCATGTTGTTTTCCGATACACTTACCTTCTTCAATTATACCACAAGCAGCTTTTTCGACAAGCATCGGGATAATACTTTTGTTATTGGAAGGTAATTCTTCTGGCTGAAGGCCCAAGTCTCTTCTGACTTCGATTACAAATGGTGATATCCAACCATACTCACCACCAAATGAACGTGTTGAAGCAACAGGAAGATCCATAAAACGTTCTTCTCTTAAACGTTGGTCCTCCCTTTCACGCACAAATCGTTTTATAGGTCGCTTCTTATTCTCATCAATCTTGGATATTTGAAGATTGTCATTGAAATCAATATAATAATTATCCAAGGTGGCTCGTGGTTGTTTTTTTGAGAATTCTTCTTCGATTATTAGATTTTCTACATCTGAATAATGGCTCCATTCGGCTGGTTCCGATTTTGACCATGGATCCAGATTAGATTGCCACATCCATTCAACATGTTTTAAAGAGTTTGGTGCTGTAGATGCTACACCACCCATAACACTGAGTTACTTTGTGTTTATTGTTGATGATGAAAAGATTACAGTAATCAGTTGTCTTATTATCTGAAAGTATGAAAAAAAATGATAGCAAAATATATTTCACCAAATTTTCGTTTTCTTGGTCATTTTAAGACACTAACCCTTTGCTCGATATTGAAATACGCAAATACGATAATCACTGACTGTAAAAGGCGTAGAAAATTGTGTACAACCGAAGCAGCCTCTATCGAAATCAGAATTATCTTTATGCTGTTGTTTTTTTTTAATTTAAGAAATTCCTTAAATCCATTTTTTGATCTTTTCTTAGACACTAAAAATGAAACCAAGTATGACAATTTAATTTGAACTCATAAAGCAAGAGACAAATTTTTAATCATCCATCAATAAAAGATTTATATCAATTTCGCTTTCGTTTAATTGAAATCTTCTTCGTTTTTATTGATACTTGACTTTTGATAAAATAAAACCATAGAAAAACAAATCTTTGCCTCTATTGGAATATCAAGCAGAAGTGATGAATATTGTTTTGTAATTCATTTTAGAAAAGCTGTTAAAAATAAGTGATATTCAATACTTTTCAATTCAATCATCGGGCTTCTTTTTCTATTGAGCACAAAGATGATCAGATTTATCCTCAAGTTTTTGTTGTAGGTTTGTTTGATAATTTAGTTAGAAACAGGTGTGGGTGTGAATGTGAATATGTTGATGAAGAAACACCCCAAGTCATTAACTCTGAGCCAGTTAACATCCAAACACACATGCAAAATCGCAATCGCACTCACACCTTCGATAGAAATCTGTTTTCTTACGTGTTCAAGCTGATCTGTTCGTTTGATATACTTTCTGAGTGAGAGTAAATCAGGGCGACGCTCAGGATACGTGATGATGAGGGTGCATAAATGCAACGATACGTGATGTTATATAGCAGATCATACATTACAAGTGACCCACGACGCGACAATCGGCATAAACAATAGAATGTATATCCACAAGGAATTGGGTTTAGGTATTTGGATATTAGATTTCTGTGTGACTATGTACGTGGTTGTGAATTAGAATCGATGACCCATGGGTGAATCGATAAAGCTTCTCGAGTTCTAATGGTCATGTGTTCGATTACGATCGAACTGCAACGCAGTTGCTAAAAAAATGAAACGGCACAAAATAATTTGTTCATTTTATTAACACTTTTGTTAATAGTTATCCTCAATCTTTAATATTTCCTTTAAAATTTGATCAAAGCTTAATCAAAGGTGAGGTCCGAATCTGAGGTCAGATTTTTATTCTTAATATTTTTATTATTAATTATTAATAATTCATAACAAAACTTTACTAATTCATAATAAAAAAACGAATACTTCACAAGGACAGAATTTATAATTCATAAAGAAAAAATTAATAATAATGCTTAATAAAAAAAATTAAAAGCTCATAATAAACTAGTTAATAATTCATAATAAAAAAAATGATAAAAAGAAACTCTGACCTCAGATTCGAATTCACTACCCTCGAAAATCCCTAGTCACTTTTTTCATTGCAACAAAAATACATTTAGACTGTATACTCTATCAGTTATAGCAGAATGAAAAATGAATCGTACTCTCACAAAGATTTCCTTTTATACAGTTCCTCTGTGGCTAAGTTTTAATGCTACAGTGTGACCAATCACAAGTAATGAGGGGCACTTCTGATTGGTTGGCATCGCATACAGTGAATCGTACGATGCGAGTAATGAAACACAGTTACGTTGATCTGCGTCATAGCAACCGAAAGATCGTTACATTACAATCAGTGCACCGCAGTTGCGCGCAACTGTGGCGCAGAATCGTCTCTGCGTGTAACTGTGGCGCAATTAGTAAGAAAGAGGTGATATGAGTGGGAAAGTAGATGTCGAAGATGATACTGGAAAGCAGGTGTTTTAGGCAAAGTTTGTATAGATGATATTTACGAATCTGTCTTCAAAACAGATTTTTCTTTATAACATTTTAGAGAATATTGTGGATGCAATATTTTCTAATTGTTATCATTCTACAACATATTCTATTCTCCGCAAGACACAAATGATTGGATCAATATTAACCAAAAGCTTGAATTCAATGCTAATATCTGTGACACTTTATGAAGCTATCATAGTTGACATTGATAGCCATGTTGTCTGAATAAAAATTTCATTAATTTACTCAGCTTTGTTTCTATATTGTTCTGCGGGACGAATTGATTTGCCTGTAAATTTGTATTTGATTGTCACTAGTGGCAGGCAACATAGTGTTTTACATCGTTTTATGGCGCAAGCTTTTAAGCAAGTGACGAGCGATGTGCAGTAAATAAAAAAACATCGCATTATTGAAAATAGTTACACTTGATGTCACCATCTTTGAGATGGTGGTATTGTCAATCAAATGAAAAATTACAAAATGATTCACTACATTCGTTTAAAGCATGAAGAGTTACCAACTGTGCTCATAATCATATCAACCTTTCAAGCAGCAAAACTTTAAGATTGTATAACTCCTACTTCTTTCTTTATGATGTATCAATGTATAGCTGCACTCATGTAATGATAACGGCTGTCTCCTCTTTTCTGTCATATTGTTCGTTCGTTCTTATACTCTCCTATGTTTTTTCTACTCATATTTCTTGCTTTCTCGTTCCTATGCAAAAGTATCTTTTTATGGCCCATGAAAAAGTATTGGTATAAAACAGCATTTCAACGCAAAGTTTTTGGAAGAAAAAACTCTATTTTTGCGTTTAAACACATTTTTTCTTTTTTTTTTCTCAACATGTTTTCCCAAGTTGAAATGCCACCTAAAAACACTATTTGAATGCATTAATGACATAACGCGCTTTTACTCTACTATCAACGCTATGTATAACATCGTTCAAATTGGTTTTGTTTGTATGTGTTTGATACGCTCATTTGTCAGGCATTTAAACGCTGTTTTTTAAGCGTTCTATTACTGAAAATAACGAATTTCTTAGCTGCATGTTAGAGCACAGAATTTATAGTACGTTTTATTTCTGAAAAAAATGAGGTGTTTCACAAACAAGCTAAATGAGCATGTAGTTTCGTATTTTGAGTAAAAAGAATCTGCCAACGTATAGACAAACATTTCGTGACATCACAATCAAAAATACATCGCTTAATAAAGGTTACTCTCGAGATAAATTTCATGACAATAGCATAGCAGTGTGTCCTTGTATATTAAGAAGGAAATATATAGTTGTATAACAAATGTGACAAGCACAAACGAACAAAACAAGTTTATCTTGATTAAAGGCTCTTAAGAAAGTTGAAAGATTTACAGATAACAAAATGTCGAAGCCAGAACTCGATTACATTTTTTCCATGTAAAGATCAGTCATAAAGTGATTTTTTTTAGTCTTAACAGAGTTTCGAATTATTCGTAATTAAAGCACTATATTCATTTGTCATATTTTTAATTCATTGACAACTATTCTTTTTGAGAAAAAAAAAGTAGTGCACGCTTGTTCATTGCAAATCAGGATATTTTAATAAACTGTACTCAACTCCTATTTTTCCATTACTAACTTCTTCTCCAGGCTGCCACGACACATTGGCTGCTTTATTCTCAGCAAAAAGTTCAAATAGTTGGATGTGAATGTAAGATGAACGTGGGAGAATAGAAGATTCACACTCACACTCACACCCTCGTTGGCCTGGGTATTATTAAGAAATGTGACACTGGAATGATTTTCAATATTAAAACAACATTTAATATAGGAGCTTGAGCATTGGCTATAAGTGCAGTGTATAGAAGAATGATGACGGTTTCTTCAAACAAAACAAGTAGTGACAATATTTTTATAAATGTGTTCTTAAATCCATTGAATATGACAATCATTTTTTTTAGAATACTCGCATTGTTATTGTTCGAAATGTCACAAAAGTTAAACTACAGAATAATTGACGATCAGGATGTATTCGAAAAAAACTTTGACATATCACAAATGGTTTGATTATACTAAAATAGTTTACAATTGTAATAAATATATTAAGATCTTTGTTATAAATAAAACATTTTCAGAGAACAGAATATCAATTCATGAAATTCAATTAAACATAACATTGTAAATAAACAAAGCAAAAAAGAAATTGCTTTTATCCTAGCTTGACTAGTTAAATTTTACAGATAAAATTATAACTTGAGAAAAGAATTTCATGAGGTTTGCATAAGCATACAAAATCAGATCTTATCCACTTTTTTCGTACACACCCCAATTTATCGAGCAGCCATAACACCATGAGTCAATACATCCGTGCATAATTGACATACTCTCACTGGTTTTTGTAAATTAAATTTCATAATTGGTAACTCGTTTAGAGAACACCGTTTGCATAAAACTCGACCACAATGTCGACTAAAACGACAACTTTATTAAGAAAAAACATTGAAAAAAAGAACAAAATACAAACCAATGATGTCTTCGATTTGTGATGGTAAATTTTGTTCCACATTCTAAACATGTTTCACTTTCGCCCCACGGAGGTTCACGTGGAATAATATCTATTAAATTAGAGTAGAATTAGCAATAGAACTCGTTGGATCCAAAATTTTCAGACCCGGACTCGATTGAACCGTACTTTCATATTCTCAATGACACTGTCTAATTGGAATTGTATAGACACCCGAACATACAAGACACTTTTTTCCGATTTTCTTGTATATTTTGAAGCAGGAATCCGGCCATCGAATCTGATCACCAGATTTCTGCTCCTAAGTTTCTACTATTTTCCGAGCGGAGCGTCTTTCCAGTAAAAACCTGTCGGAAATTCACGGATCCAGGTGCCAGAATAATTGACCTGAGCACATTTCTCAGACGGCTAGAACCCGTTGGGTCTAAAATTTTTGGACCTGAAGCTAACGTGACGAGTTCTACTTAGCCGTAACAATTCTATTACTTACCAATTATATTAACCAGTAAAGCTTTACTTGCAGCTGGCATAGTAAAAATTGAAAATGAATCATAATTACAAA